CTAATTTTCTATCCAGACACAATTTATAGTTTCTGCTATTACATGAGGTTATATATATATATATATATATATATATATATATATAATTTCCACCCACCACTTAACCATTTGATTTTGGTAATGAACTTTTCTTTTTGATTCCATTGTACTGTTTTTGTATCACACACACAAAAAAAAAAAAAAAAAAAAAAGTATTCAAATCAGTTAAGACTGAATAACTAAAAACATGGGAGGGATTCTTACATCCATATATTTGCAAAACTTACTTGCAATTGTCTTGCAGTCGACAATTTTGGGGAATCATCTGCTGCTACTGGTGTGATTTTACGAAGTGTGCTTGCTTTGGTACTTGATCCAGAGGCAAATTCAAGAAGCAGAGATTTTATTGAACCTGCCAAAAAAACAAGTGATACAATATTAAAGCAAAGAAACAAAACTTGCATCATCAACCAATTCTCACAAATTTTCCATTTAGTATATGAAATGGATACAGTATTAGAGATGGACCAACTTTTACATAAAGTATAACAACCAAAGTTTCTTTTAGTATTTCTCAGTATCCAATATAGATGAAAGTATTTTATCTACACTAATGCTTGAAGAATTATTCAATTAAACATCTTTACAATTTCACTTATAATTCACTCAGAGAATTTAAGATTTTAGTTGTACATATTTGCTGCATAATTAAACTACACAATACAAAGCTTATAAAAAAGGTAAGTTTTAGTAACAGTTTACACACAAAAAAAAAAAAAAAAAAAAAAAAAAAAAACAAAAAAAAGAAGCTTCCTACTTATTCAAACGTACAGAAAAGTTTAGAAAAAAAAAAAAAAAAAAAAAAAAAAAGAAAAAAAAAAACTTACCAAGATATGGACAACATAGATAAAGTATCGACTGATCAACCAGGTCTGTATTGTCCTGAAATAGAATTTAACACGGGAAATTAAACACAGAATCTGACCAAAACAAGAAAACGCAAATATTTAATTCCCATTTTTCTTTTAATATAGTGGGTAATATGCAAGTCTTGAAGCATGTGTGTGAAATTTGTTATAAACAGTCTTAAAATTATTTTTTAGAGTTATTTAATTTCAACGGGAATAGGTTGATAATAAAAAGTTAAAGTGAGAATAACTAACAAGACATTCACTTGGGACTTCTAGTGGTTCAAATTCCACATTCATCAAATTGAAAAAGGTTCCATCAGGAATGTTAGGAATCTAGAGAAAAATAAAAAAATAAAAACACAGGCATTAAACAAACATTAATATCAAAATAATATACTTGTTTTGCCAAGTTTCTAAAGTGTCAAATTTAAGTGTATAAATAATGTCTTATTGCTGGCATAAGGTCATTAAAAGAGTGAAAGTGCAGATATGGTTACAGAAAGTTGAGAAAACTATAACAGAAAAAGAAACCAAATGAAATGGTTAAGTAAAACAGATATATAAAAATAGCCCTTGATTAAGACAAGATTTCTTACACTGACACATCTGCTTATTTAGCTATCAATCTCTGCAATGTCTTTGCTGCGGTCTATATTGAAGTCTGCAAAGATGACTTGCCTAATATATATATATATATATATATATATATATAAAAAAAAACAAAATCAGTGCGATGACAGACAGGAGGAAAAAAAAAAAAAAAAAAAAAAAAAGAATACATCCAATTTTTAAAAGGCACTGCATAATCATCCGTGTGTTATGTTAGGTACCTTCACGAAATCGCTAAAAAAAGAGCATAAGCTTGATGAAAAAGACGCCAAACTTGCCGAAAACTAAATTTTATTGTCTAAATGCTTATGTTATTATTAAGAGGAAAGACCAAAGTTTTTTTTTTTTTTTTTTTTTTATTATTTTTAAAAAAATTCCTTCTTTTTAGAACATTCTAAATTTTGATTAAAAAAAAACAAACCTTTTTTCTATTTGTATCAGCGGAACTAGTAAATAACAGACAATTTTTAGCATGTTTTTTTTGGTATGACACACATTAATTTGAAAAATCGTGCAAAAATAGAAATAATTATCGGATGTTAATGAAACTTTCAGAAACTATTCACAGATGATCGAAATTGTTTTTTTTATGAAAGTCATGGTAGAAATATTTTTTTTAAATATTTATTACCCCCCCCATAACTAATTTTATGAAAATGCTAGAAATTCTATCGCATCGGTTTTAGTGATTACAATAATTAAAAGCACAGGGCTTTGAGGAATGCAAATCATGTTTTTTTTTTGTTTTTAATTGGATACGCAGTACCTGAAAATCAGCTCTGAATTGTAACATACAAAACTCAATAAAACAAAAGATTATTTAATTTCAAATGCTTTTATTTGCTTTTAGTTGTTTTTATGAATATGGACAATATTTTCTGAAAAAAAAAAATTTTTTTTTCAGGAAAAATGAATTTTTAATACAATTATTTGTTATTTCATTAATTATAATAGATTTTACATTTAAGTTAAAATATTATAAAATTAGTTAAAAAGCCATCGGCTTTCATAAGTGTCCTTATGAGATACATCTTTTTTTTAGTAGCGTTGTAAATTGTATCATTTTGACTAATCAGAAGATACCCAGTAATTAAGAAATGTAATTTGTGCTTATAATCGAGCTGTAATTATAAAATACGGAAGACCAACCAGAATATAATTAAGTTGCGTTATTTGAGTTAAGCATTGTTCTCCGCTGTTAAGGCCTTTACTTTTGCGAAACATGTGGAGAAGTTAATTTGATTTTCAATTTCAACTGAGAAGGGTACCTACAAGTATCAGTGTCATCTTATGAAATTTATATGATCTTATTTTTTATATTAATCTCAGTTACGACATTTTCCATAAATGAAATATCAAAATTAATAATAAAATGAATGCAAATAACAGTAGAATGTAATAAATGTACATAAAATTATAGTATTTTATGTACAATTCTGATAAAATTTCATAAGAAAGGTACCTATAAATTAGATACCTTTCTTAAGAAATATGAAATTTAATGTCACTCTTAACAGTTTTATTTTAATTTCTTTACAATATATTTCCCATAAAGCATCATAAACGTAAAGGTGAAAGCTAAGTACAAAAAAAAAAAAAAAAAAAAAAAAAAATTAGACCGCTGAAAGTTTTAGATTTAAAAATAACGGGGGTAAATAATTTGTTCACGTAAATGTAAATTATTTCACTTTTCTCCTTCCGTAGAACAAATTAGCCTCATGGAATTCAAATATATCATTCATCACATGTCAAGAGACGCGAAAGTTTATGACCTGCTTTGTTTTATTTTCAAATTACATCTTTTTTGGCACAAAAGCTAAGTTAAGTTTGGTTCAAAATATTTTAAATAAACATTATAATTTCTGATTTTCTTAAAATAAGTTTTGAAAAAATGATAATTGATAAGTCAGATTTCCAGTTTTTTTTAAAATGGAAAAAAAAAACGGTCAATTTTGCTGACTCAAAAAAAACTAGATTTTTAACAAAAATTTCGGACGTGCTAGGAACGATTAAAAAATGGAAAAAAATACCAAAATACTTTGACCTTTCCTCTTAATAATAACAAACATTTAGACGATAAAATTTTGTTTTCGTCAAGTTTGGCGTCTTTTTCATCATGCTATGCTCTTTTTTTAGCAATCTCGTGGAGGTACCTATGTTATGTCTAACCATGAAGGTAGGTTCCCAGTTTTATGCCAGTCACATTTAGACCTTCATTTGAAAGTTTTAGAGGTTACATTCATTAAATCTTTACAGCTTTCTTTGTAAACAGAAAGATTGTTAGGTCTTAAGATCTGCCAATGATGTATGAATTGGTATATTATTCATTCCCTGTAACACTTGTTTTTAATTGGAGTGCACATCTGTTTTATTTCCTTTATTTTTTTTCTACAATTTGTCATTCATTGTAAGTATACTTTTCATTTTCATCTCCCTTTGGTAAAAAAAAAAAAAAGATGTATTTTAATGGACATTATTATATTTATATCAAATGGATATCCAACAATGGAATCAGCAGACTCAGTTCAAATTGGTTTACTTTATGCAAGTGCTTTCAATAAAAGTATGAATCTACTTGCCTAAGCTTGTAGGGGAATTGTAAGCTTCGTTTTTTGTTTTTTTTTTTATTGGGAGGGCAGCCAGATCAAAATTCAAAGTCCCTACTAACAAATTTAAGTACCCAACATTTACATATACTTACCCCGAATAGCCACTCAATCTGGACAATAACAAATAGCCAAGTTTTAACACAAAATCCTGATCGCAAATCTGCCCAAGATTGTCTGAAAAAAAAAAAAAAAAAAAATTTAAAAGTATATAAAGAACTAAAATGAAATACCTAACCAAAAAAAAAAAAAAAAAAAAAATTGGGGGCACAGTAGCATTTGACTATAAGCCATTCCTGTAACCATTATAAAAAGAAATATCAATTACAAATATTAACAATTAGAATGTTTTTTTTAGAGAGTGCAATAATATAAACTTTATAACAAAACAATGAGCTAACTGATATCATACTGGGTTTCTGTTAAAGAACATTATAGTTTAAAGATGTTACATCATTTGAATTTCTCAAATCATGCTACAGTGCAAAAAAATCTGACTAATCAATGGTTTTTAACCCCCCCTCCTCCTATTAAAGATGCCTTATGCAAAATTCAGAACACATAACATTCTCTAATTAGAAACAAAACAATGTTAATTTGAGTTATCATCTGATAAACATTTTTTCCTAAGCTCACTTAAAGTACAAGAACAGAGAATAAAACAGTATTGTCTTCAACCAGCCATTTGTTGCTCTGTACAAAAAGTTTACAAAGTATTCCTTGAGATATAGATATATATATATATATATATATATATATATATATACACACACACACTTCTGATGAATGAAAACAATACTCATTAAACTTTTTCTGATTTACCTGTGAATAGAGAACATTTTCTGAAAAACTTTCTGATAATAATCAAGCCAAGGAGACATAGAATCCATCCAACTTAAGAATTCCACCACCCAAGGAATGGTGTAACACAGGCGTCCTTTGATAGATGCTTGCTTCAGATAAACCAAGATATCACAAGGAGGAGAACTCTGAAAGGAAAAAAAAAAAAAAATTCAAAAAATGAATTTTATCAATTATTATTCAAGAGTTGTTTACTCAAATGAGTAACAAAAATTCTAGAAGAGGACAACTTGAATAAGTTATATTCCGAGTATCAGAAGAGATACAAGTTATGTACTTACATTATTTCTTATTTCTAAATAAGCTGGGTGTACTTCTTCTGGAAGACTGTTAATGGATTGGTATGGCAGAAAGGTTAAGAATCCAAGAAATTTTGCAAGTAAACGTAGTGTTAACAAACAAGACTTGAATTCTCTTTTGATCTGTTTAAAAAAAAATAAAAATAAAAAAAATAAATATAGTCTTAATATTTTAACAAGTGCATTAATGTCAAAACAGTAATACAGGTTTAAAAAAAAAAAAAAAAAAAATATTCCATATAAAATTGTTATCTTGCCTCAAATGGAGCATGGAAAAGTAGGATTATTAAAATTGAAATACAAAAAACCTATACTTTATGGATCTGGATTTTGTATTAGCAGTATATTCTAGTATACTAGAAATTAACACATCCAGCTTTAAACACATGAATCTTTGGAAAGTGTCACTTTTATTTGAATCCTGCACATGTTCATTAAATTTTGGACATGACTCCTTATTTGATACTTTTGCTTATTTTAGAGGCAAGAGTATTGCATTAACCTACCACTAAACATTTGTTCTCTCCTATAGGTTTTAATGAATTCATACAAATTTCACATGAGAAAATGAAAAAGACTAAATACTTACATCACTAGAAGCATTTCCATTATCTTCATTTACACTTTGAAGAGATACAAATTGGTATTTATCAAGCTGAAGAGAAAAATATAGTAAAAATTTTCACTATAAATTTTAGCTAAAAATCATTGATTAACAGAAACTCAAAATCAACAATTCTCTAGAAATATACTACTAAAAAAACATCACTTACTTCCAGTATCTTTGCTTTTAGGAGATCACTAATATGCTGATTAAATACATGATTGTTAGCAGACAGGATGAAATCATGGAAAAACTCCTGGGAACCAGTGAATGATGGTGGAGGACTTGGTCCATTTGTACTAAGAGGAATTATAAACCTCTCCTGCAATCTAAGAAAATAAACAGTTTAAAATTTTGTAAATGAAGAAAATGTCAAAGTTAAATAAAAGTAAAAAATTGATAGTGAATGATTTACTTTGGTATTTGACTATTTTTCAAAAAGTCTTGAATAATTTGAATTAAATAAAATCCAATAAAACACAGAAGTAACCAAATCTACTTGAATATGGTAACTGACCCAAAAAAAAAAAAAAAAAAAAAAAAAAAAAAAAAACATGTTTAAATTATTTCACACTATACAATTAGTTTTCCTTATACAACAGCAAAAAAAAAAAAAAAAAAAAAAAAAAAAAAAAGTTACCTTTTATATTTCTCAGGATTTGATTTTTTCAGCTGAGATATAAATGAAATGGAATCATCATCATCGTGTAATGCCACACAATTATCTTCTTTATACATCTGTTAAAAAAGAAAAGAAAAAAGAAACAAAAATAACTAATGAAATAAAAACCAGCTTATATATTCTATGCCTTAAATTTAATAAAGAAAAATGTACTCAACTTATGCAATTAAGAAAATTTTAAATATATTGACAATATAAAAGCTCTAAAATATTTAAATTTTCTAAAATCAAAAGAATAATGAAAGCTTTAAACTTTAAAATTTCAGTCTTCAGCTTTATTTTGAAAAATTCAAGAAAAGAAAATTGAGATATTTTGTACACAAAATGATTACAATCACATCAAAACTGCAAGTTGTTTTAATTTTTCTTTTTAGAGGAAAAAAACAAATTAAAGTATTTTTAAGTTTTTATACTATAACCATGAATCTTGTTCAATTGTAGACAAATCTAAAGCAAGTTTCTAGGTTAAAATTACAATCAAGGATTCAAAAATCATGAAATGTTTCATACACTATTTTTCTTGTAATAAAAATACCACATAATGAAATATTTTTTGAAATAATGGTAAGACATTTTAGAAATAGCATAACTTGTTTTCAAATTGCAATCTATGCCACAGCACTATGTTCAAATACATTATTAAGAAAAAAAAAAAAAAAAGGGGGTATAATGTGAATATTTGAACAATCTGAAACTAAATGATACTTACCATTATAAGCTGAGATATGAAGAGTTTGGCCAAATGCCAGTAGTTGGCCAATTCCATATCTGGAGAAAATGTAAGATGGATTTTCTTTTCTAGAGCACCACGAAAAGTCCATTGTGGCTTCTCATGGTTATCTTTCCACTCTCTAATAAGTTCATAGAAAGAATCTCTGCAATTTGAAAAATACAAATACATTATACACATATATAAAGGACATAAGCTATCTTTTTCAACATCAAATCCTTATATTACATTTCTATATCCTTATATTACATTTTTTTATTTATAATTTTGGTAGCTTCATTGAAGCTCACATTTATTTTAGTCAAAAATATTTTATTTACCTTTAATATTGAAGTCTTATTAGGCTAGGCATGATTACTGGTCATCTGGGTAAACAATTTATCAAATACTTTGTATATAAAACCTAGAAGATTAAAGCTTTTTTGAAGGTAGTGGAGATAGTCTTTTTGTGACATCAAATCCAATATAACATTCAACTGTGGCTGGTGAAAAGGTAAGTACTTCTACAGCTTGAGTGAATAGTTTTCACTCATGTTGCTATCACCAGACATTGCACTGACAGATTCTGTCTGGTCTTTACAAAATTTCCTACCATAAAAGAAAATGTCCCTAACAGAATATAGAGTAGTATTTTCCTAAGAAAAAATATTCTGGGAGAATTAAGTTGTTTGAAAGATGGTAGAAGACAGAAAGAGCCAATACTTAAAAAATATGTAGAAAGTAGTTTTTTTTTTAGTTTTTTTATTACAACTAGAAAAGCTATCTGGTTTACCCAATAAATTTAAAATTATGTATAATTACCTTTGTGCTCTGAACATAGAAAATGATTTGGGTGTTGGGAAATTATTTCGGTTATCTGTTTCTGCTTGGAATGAGACACCACCAATTGAGGACCGAGGCAAAAGAGGAGAGAGCTTAAAAAGAGAAAGTTTAGGCAAAAAATAAAAATTTATATTTTTTTTTTTTACAGCATGCATATATAGCCTCCCCACCTACATTACTTTATAATACATTTGTTGACTTATACAAATTCTAAAGAGAATAATTTTGAAAAATGTAGACATTTGTTCTTTGATTTAACTATGACATAGTAAATGGAAGAATGACAACTGAAAAACAGTTGGTTATTCATCTCAAATTAGCCAATGGCCATGAGTGACGCTGTAAGAAAAATTCACAAAGTGTTCCTTTAAATTTATTGATCAGTCCCAAATATTAGATCTATATATTTAGTCTTAAAATTAGAGCATGTTGAAATTTCACAGCATTTGTGTTCTGCTAAATAAGGCATTTCAACAAACTTCTGACATTCATAGCTCCAAGGATATTGTATGTACTGGTTTGAAATTCAAATTTTTGGAAAGCTCAGCTACAGCTTGAAATTATTCCAAATGACATACTGTTTAGTATTAGTTCAACTTATCTCACAGATCTTTCCAACATAAGGTATCAGGCCAAATAATTTAGCAGATCACAACTTTACAGAGAGAAAACCTGTAAAAAATTAATTTAAGCTAAACTGAAGCATTTCCAGTAGTCATAACATTTCATACTTAAATGCTTGTTGCACCAAGTAAAAATCTATATAAAAATGAGAAAAGATAAACTACCACCCACGAGAGATCTAATTAATTTTATTTGGATTGGCACAATAGTATTGAAGGCTTTCATAACATAACATGGTTAAAAAAAAAAAAAAAAAAAAAAAAAAACTTTTCAAAATCCCAGAGTAAGTCATTAGTGCTGACTTTTGTGTTCCACCACATTGCAAACTAAGCATTTATTTTCAAAATACTTTTTTTTAAAAAGTGTAAGGTTCAATGTAGCATAGACAACTTTATGCACAACTGAAAATCAAATAAAATAAAAAAATTTTATTTTTAATTTCTCATCTTATTGAGAAATGACAGGTGTGTCAGAAAATTCCAATTTTAAATCTTTCCCATGCTTCCATTTGGTCAAAAAACTCATGCAGTGTGCAACACCAAAATTATCCAAACTGTGTATTAATTGCCCATCCCACAAAACAAAGTGTTCACAAAAAAAAAAAAAAAAAAAAAAAAAAAAAAAAAAAAAAAAATGGCCTAAACTAATTTTCTTTTCCCCAGGTTTTCAGATAATATGTTTAGCCATCTTGACACCAATTGCATTAAGGATAATTGATAAAAACCCTTTAAATTATTCATTCAGAAAGAGAACAGGTTAAAACCTTTTTGTGTCAGCCCCACTATATATCTTTTCAACTGAGTAAAGAAAGATCTTTCAGGCCTTCAATAATGGTACCAATATTCATACTCTGGCTTCCATCTTCATAGTTCATTCAAGAACCATCAAGGGAACAGTGAATAAGTTTAAAAAGGAGGGAACAGTAAAGAAAACTGGATCAGGAGGTCACAACAGTAAGAGGAATCATCATTTCAACTTAAAGCTAAAGAGATCAATTAGAAAAGATCAAACTCAATCTAAAAGACGTTTGGCACACAAGAGTTTCAGCTATGACAATCCAAAGAGTAGTGAAAGACTTGAAAATGAAATTTTATGTCAAACCTGTGAGGTACCTTGTTATGCCAGAACATAATTTATAAGCTTAAAACGAAGATCATAAGTTGGAAAATGATCCTGGAATAATCTTCATAGGATTCATACACAAGCAAATGCAATGGCCATATTCTGGCTTCAGATCCTCATGAGAGACAATATCACTTTCAAGTGCAAAAACCCTGCCATGGTAATGGATTTTGCCTGTGTGGCCTGATGGCAAGAAGATGCCATTGATCATGTTCGAGAAGGATGAGAGACTGAGAGGAGTTTGCTATGTTCAAATTTTTAAAAGATCAGGATTCTTTCTGAATATCCAGAGGCTAGAGAATCAAAACCACAACAAAAAACAATAAGGCCTTTAAATTTACATTCCAGCAAGATGAAGCTCCTTGTCACATGCACAGTGGCTCAAAAATGTCTTATTCATTGCCAACTTTGAACACCTTAGACTTCAGCATCTAGAATGAATTGGCCAGTAAAGCTTGTGAGATATCCCACAGTAACCGGCAAGCCTCCCCACCCAAAAAAATAAAAAATAAATACAAATATCCAACAATAAGACCTTGGTAGAGAACATTGATGAAGAATTCATTAAAAAGGCTTGTGGTGCATTCAGGAAGAGGGTTGTGGATGCCATTGCCAAAGGTGGAGTAAGTCTTGATGCCTAACAGCTTGGACTTATGCCAGAATTGTTCTTAATACCAGTATTTAAGCTTCTATTTGAACCATTTCAACCCACTCATGAGCTTCTAATCCTTAGCTATGATTAATTAATGATAAACAGGTCATTTTCATTTATGATTGATTTCATCATGAAATTTCTGTTAAGCTTGGAGAGTAATTATACATTCTTATTGTTGAAAGAGTTCAATAGCATGTTAAAAAAAATCCAGAGAATTCCAGCAAAATATCTAAGATACATGGCTCAAAGCTTAATATAACTATTGGACAATTTTGCTGTTACACCCAGGATTATATATATATATATATATATATATATATATATATATATATGTGTGTGTGTGTCACCTGTTTTTCTTTGTTATTGAACTCCTAGGGTTTTGGAGATAGATGACAGCTTGCTAAAGTTATGTTCTTGGGTAAATTTAATCTTCAGGCATTGGTTTTGACACTGACATACAAGCACATGCATGTGTCATTAAATGACAAAAAAATTCAATGTAACATTTTCATCCTTCAAAAGGACTTCAGACTAATGTTTTTAATGATGGAAGCATATGTAGTAGGAGTAAACACTTTAAATAAATCCACATCGTAATAGCAATGGTTTTGTTATGAAAGGTAAAATGATTTAGGAACCTGAATTTATCACAGAAGGCTCAGAAATGAATGCACTTATTTGATTAAGTTAGATTTTCTACAATAAATGTCACAAAGACATAGATGAAAGTTTTTTTTTTTTTTTTAAAGAAATGCTGTTTTAATTAAGAGAGAAAGTTAATTGTTAAAGTGAAAATACACAGGAGATATTAATTTCCAATATTTTGCAGTGAATTTATGTCCAGGTTTATTCAATATTCCACCTTAAAACCACTGCTATTATCAGGTGGGATATTTAAAAACTAGTGATAAAAACAGAAGCATTAAGAAAACTGAACAAAATGATCCAGGCAGAAATTTAACATTTAAAGTTGAGTGCGTATCTGCAGCATTTTTCTTCAACTATAATTGACAGCTATTTATACAGATTTCCTTACTTTACACGATTCCATGAATAAATACATGGACTTTTGAAGAAATTCTTCAAAGATGAAACATTAGAAGTGTTTCCATTTTCTAACACACACTAAAAAATTAATATTACTGTCTTTTGAATGTAGGATTCAGGCTATGTAAAAGTAACCATCTGATGAGAGGTTATAAGCTCTGGTAGCAAGCAGTGGTGATGAAATTAACCTAGATGAGACTAGATATTGGGCAATTTCAGCCACTTTTAAAAGTTTCAGTGTTCATATGCTATAAAATACAATAAGCGATTTATAAACAGCTTTATTTCTTTTAAATGGGTGGGGCCCAGTATTCAGTCCAACTATGAACCCTTTAATACTTAATTGTCATTAACAATAGAAAGTAGTTAATTTTTAAGAAGTGAAAATAAAATAAACACTTAAGACCTTTACTTGTGAATATCAAACTGCCATTTTTTAGTGTTCTTACCTGTGTAGAAGAATCTTTATTTTCCTGGATCTTACACAAGCATTGTTTCAATACAGGTGAAAAGGATTCTACTCTAGGGTTATCACTAAGCAGTTTCAATACAGTTGGCCCCAATGATGGTAATAACCTAGAGAGAAAAATAAAATCAATTTCCTTCATAGTTACAAAACTTAATCATCTGCCCTCAATTCATGCACATATCAAAGAGTAATAAATCATATGACAACCTGGCTAGAAACAAAATGTAAGTTGCTTCACCAGTTGGTGCCAATTCCTACCACACTTTATTGTTCATAGTCTAGTCAAATCATTGATGCAAAGTATGACCATATCAACTATCAAGACATTCAATTTCTCATATCTACAAATTGGTATCAAGTTTATTAGAGGAACATAATAGTTTCTCATTTCTGTAAATATATAGCTAAATTTTTGTCTTAAATGTTATCCACTTGTCTTTCTATTTAACCATATATACAAGTGTTACAGTATACACAATACAGTAATGCTATATTAGGGTAATAATATACAGATTTTTTTATGTGCACAGAAAGCATATGATTTAAGGGTACAAACTTTTAAAAGCACAAAAAAAAAAAAAAATGTGAACTTACCATAAAAGTTTTTCAAGAACTTTCAAGCTAAAATATACAACATTGTGAATGGATCTTAAGAAGTCATGTCCAATGCAATCTGTAAATAAAAAATTAAATACAAGTTTATAGAAAACCATAAAACCACAATGGATTACAGAGAGTGAAGGTGAGAGAAAAGAGAGTATGTGACCGAGAAAAAGATAAAAGCTGAATAGGATTCAAGAAGATAGATGGTGATTGACATTGCATTTACATTTTTGAAGATCATAGTTATCAGGGAAGAAAATAAACAGAATAAAAACAGAAAGGAGTTCCACAGGTGAGATGTGTGAGAAAAACTTGGAGCAGAAGTGGAGATTACATTTACCTAATTCAACAGTAAAAGGGTGGGACCTAGATGCCAATCTAGTAGCATGTGCAAATTCACGTAGTCCAGGTACAAAGGGAGAAAAAAAATGCTCATCAGAGCAGTTACTATGAAAATATTTGTAAAGACAGGGGGAAGCCACATCATGTCAGTGAGAAAGTGACCGAAATTAAGATGCCAGGTCAGGACCAATCACATTACAGATAGTGTTTTGTCAAGAACCCCCAAGAAGTATAGCAAGAGCACTAGACCAGATACAGCAACAGTATTCAATACATGGTAGATTTGTAAAAGTACAAGTTGAACTAACAAAAAAAAAAAAAAAAAAAAAAAAAATACAAAACAACCCAGGCAGTAGATACAGCTATTAATTTGATGTAGTCGTTCCACTTCAGTTGAAAAAATGAGGCAAAGTTGCAATGTTTTGCTCTCCAGCATCACACATGCTCATGGTGGGCAAGAAAGTTTCTCTATGGTGGTTAAATAAGAGCAGTTTCATTTGGGAGGCATTCAAATTTATGAGCCATTTACTAACCTGGCTGCTGCTCTTGAAAAGGACAGCCAATCTTTGGTTAACTGTCAACTCTGATGGATTTGACATTGAGACAGAAGTAAATGGTAGTGTCATCAGCATAAATGCCTACCTGGAAACTGGTGACATCAGGAAGGTCATTGATGAAGATCAGAAACAATGTAGGATCCAGGATAGAGCCTTGGGAACACCTACATTCGTGTGAAAGGATCTGGAAGCAAGCCTGTTCAAAACGACTTTCACATCATGATTTGATAGGAATGATAGGATTAAATCAAACAATTGTCCAGTAATACTGTAGTCCCAAAGCTTTTGTAGATGACCAACATGCCAAACCCTATCAAACGCCTTAGAGATATCTAGAGTCACATTATCAAGGGATTAATATACATAGTGATGGCCGTTAGCACATCAGCGGTAGACTGGGCAAAACAGAATCCATATTGTTTGTCAGAGAGTAGGCCATGAGAGTAAAATTCTTAACCACTTTAGAAAAGCAGTAGGAGACTAATAAGGCAATAGTTAGAGGGGGGTCAGAAGGTTCTCCATTCTTAAAAACAAGAACTACAGGAGGAGGACTTCCAAATTGGAAAGCAGGAAACAACAAAGCAATAGTTGGAGAAAACATTTCTTTAGGATGATGGTTGGGATCCAGTAACCTCCATTTATCCTTATCGGATTTTGAAGAATCTTTGAAGCAGCAATTTGTTTATTATTTGCTTAAGACTGCCAATAATTGGGGATAATAATAATAAATAAATAAAAAAAAAAATAAAAAATAAAAAAAATAACTATTTCTTCACTGCTAGTATAGTGTCTTCAGGTATCATATTAGATCAATATAAAGTAGATCCATTGCAGCTGACAAAGCAGTTACAGACCACTTTAAAGTTCCATGTAATAAATTATTTCACCACAGCCCTTTTAAAGGACTGCAGATCATCAGACTACTTCCAAACAAAAAATGAAAAGAAAATTTACACATTTTTGATGGGCTGTATTAAACATATGTAAATTAATGAAGTGGGGAAGTGAGGGGAGGGAGAGAAGACTGAGTGAGTTAGCAGATATTGATACATTTAAACGGTTAACTTAACAGAAGTTATATATTGATATCAAAGGGGTAGAGAAGAAAAAACCCATAGAGAGAAAAAGAGAGACGGAAGTTGAGATGTCACTAATTTTCTTTATAAAAAAAAAGGCTAGAAACAGACGCTGTTATTTTGCTTTACTTTGAAAGTGTTATTTTGCGGGTTCATAAAGATTATAATGTTTGATATAAATTTGAATGTCTCTAGAGTGTCTACAAATAATTTAATTTGATGTTTGTTAGTGATTTAAATTTTGGGGATTTTCTATGAAATAGTCGATTAGAAAAATATTCATAGAAAGTACATTAAGAGAATAAAATTTTATTTTAAAATACAAGTTTACTTCTAGTAATCTTTTTTTTAATCTCTTTAAAAGTTGACATCTCTATCCATGTGAATTTTGTTCATGAATTTAACTCTTGACTGTTTTTAGATAGGTAATCTCTTTTACTTAAATTTTAGTAAAGTTAATATGGGGTAATATTAAAGGTCTTGCTCTGTTATATACTGTATACACAACCATGCAAATATCACATATACACACGTTCCTTTACATGTTCAATCACTCATACAGGTACCCATGTGCCGAAATACACAGGTAACTTCATGTATTAACATCTACCTAAATATCAAATTATCAATTTAAAAACAACCTAAACACTGGAAACTATTTAGGATAAAAATAAAAAAATAATCAGTAATAAAGATGAAAATATACATTTTACTAAAGTAGAAATTATATGACTAATATCACTATAAATTAAGAAAAAGTGTATTTTAGATAATTCAACAGCCAACCAAACATGGCATTTAATTCACTTTTAAAAACATTATTACTCACCTGTTTCATCAATATCTTCTTTGGTACATCTGACAACTAACAACTGGATCAAAAAAAATATTTCTACTGTTAAGTTGGGAAAGAGAGAAGCTATAAAAAAAAAAAAAAAAAAAAAAGTTAAAATTAACCTGACCAAGTCAACATAAACATACAAACTAAATTTGTCAAGTTTTAGGTTTATATTATGATGCATAAAATATCAAAAACACAAAAATTCAATATCTGTCTATATTTCTGAGATGAGGTATTATGTACACTATAATATTCGGACTATTGTCTGAATCTTTGTTGCCACATTTATCACAACGTTTCAACCATTGTACACTCCAGCCTTCTTCAGGTAGTTGGAACGTCAAACTGAACTGTTTATTTCACTTAAGGACACCTGGCACAGTGGATAAAGCCGTTAGTAACAGAACCCAAAGAGTGTGAGTTCAATACCTGGTTAAGGCGGTGGAGAACTTGGAGAGGGGAATTAACAGGAGATAACTGACATCCATGAGACATGGCACGTGGAACTAGAACAGTGCCCCAGTGAGTAAAATAAAGGGTTCAGTTTAACATTCCAATCACCTAAAGCAGGCCAGAGTGTACAACCGCCAAAACATGATAAATATGGCAACAAAAATGAATAAAAGACCTAAAAAGCTTTTTATTTTTCAATGAATTTTGTCTTTCACTTTAGAAAAGAAAAAAAAAAAAAAAAAAAAAAAAAAAAAGCAAAGGGTCTCTAAAGTGGGTATCCATTCACAGAAAATACAAATATCAAGAGATTTTTTTAGCTTTAGTGTTGCTTTAGCATATGTCCTACAGATCAGTTTATTTCTACCACCACATTTGTATCCTACATTATTTAATGTAAGAGGGGGGGAAGCAAAAACGGAAGGAGGAATGCCATTTATTGTTGTATCATAAAATTTAAAATAAAGTTATAAAATAAATTTGACTAAAAACTCATAAAACATGATATTTGAATCCTCTAAATAAAAACATTCCAAATGTTTTAACAGAAAAAGTCAAGACAATGCCTTAATGTAGCATACAAATGTGATAGGACACATACCAAAGCAGAAACTGATTGGTAAGACACACGTTAAAGCAGCACAGATTTTTTTTTTTTTTTTAATCCTCCACCATTATGTATATGTGGAGGCAATTTTAAAATCTGGAAGCTTAAAATTTCCAGAGAAAAGAGATTAGGTTTTTCATGATAGTACAAACCGACTTTCTAACCAGAACAAAAAATAAATATAAAGCAACTTTTAGACTTATAATTATAGACCAAAAAAAATACACTAGTTATAAGAATTAGCATTAAACTTTGTAAATTTAATACTACCTTAATATTCTCACACAATCCAGCTCCCAGTTGTCATTTGCCGAAAGAAATAAAAACATATTTACCATGAAGGCATCCAGAATACAACTCTGTGAGAATATGTAATTCCTCAATGTGAGTGACAAAATTTAGGTTAACTTCAACAGAATCTTTTATATCAGCGCTTGGTTGTTTATTAGAATAAAAACAATGTTTGCTTGGAGAAACATTCCAATTGTTTGGGGAAAACAAGATCTGACACCCTTCCATTCGGAGGCTAAAAAAAAAAAAAAAAAAAAAAAAAAAAAAAAAACAACTTAAAATATCTAAAAATTAGCAGATTAAAGTACTAATATTCAGTAAATCAAAAACAAAACACGACTTAATGAATTTTTGTTTAACTTACCTCAACAATTCTCTCTCCTTCATGCTTGCAGATATATTACTCTGAAGATTTTCTTGATTTTTAGCAAAAACATTTTTTTCAGGCTTACTTTCAGGCATTTGTTTAAATGCTTCATTTTGTTTACGTTCCATCCCAGCCTGAACAGGTGTAGGTTTAATTCTTCTTGACGGTTTCATTTCTCTGAAGAAAGAGTTTGAAATTATAATTGCCACATAGTAAAAGAAAACCAACCACATAGAGCAATGCAGAAAAGTTCCACACAAGCACAGTCTAAATTACACACAGCAGCAAAAAAAAAAAAATATATATATATATATCACCATTGGCTTCAACCATGGTCTCCAGATGACTTTGGAATCTCCAGCATAGTCTCTTAATTCAAGTTGGTGAATGCTACCATAATCCTTGCCTTCAGTTCGTCTTTGGTGTTACAAGTTTTGTTGGTCTCTCAAATGTGCCCCCACATAATAATTAAGCGGGTTGCAAATCTGGGGTGTTAGGTGGTCAGATGTAAGCAATGATGTACCAGAAAATTCCCGACAGCCATGACTAGGTTCTCCTGCTTGTGACATGGTGCAAAATCCTGTAGTCAGACAAGGGGTCTTCCAGCAGCCACCTATTAATTCAGAGCAGCACTACCTCCTCAAGACACTTGATGTAGGCCTCTGTGTTGAATGTTGCCCGCAAACCAATAAAATCTGTGAGTTTTATTCTTATCAGAACAATCAGAGCGAGTTTTCCAAACTGCTGTACCTTTGTAATCACCATTAAACTCATCCAACTCTTTCCAAATCCTAATACACAAACACACTGAAATGGTGGTATTGGAGCTTCCGGCACAAAGGCAAAGTGGTATAGCATACCATTTCCAAGTTTCTGGCAGAGTAAATTGCATCAGGGTTTTTTTTATTTTTATACAAATGTGTGCCCAGCTTACAAAATCAAAAACAATGCACATGCATGAAATCTAAAATAATTTAGCAATCACACCAAGTAACACACAGTTGACAATGATTTGCTGGTAAGTTAAACATGAAGCCAAAGCAAGATTTATGCATTGATTTCAAAACTGTCCAGAAAAAAAAAAAAAAAAAAAAAAAAAACAAAACAAACTAATCCAGATGGAGAAGGACAATCTTAATAGACTTGCTCTATCCAAACTCATATTGGAGGAACAGGATGCTCTGTATGAGAAATACAATAATAGTGACAAAATCCAATACATCAATGGATTTATGTATTGTAGACTGAACTGTAATTTTGTAAAATCAGTTCATATCTATTGTTTTATTTTAAACATTTATTTTTCTCCAAATACATTATACAAGATTTCTAAGAAATACGGGACACACCTGAAGCTTGCAGATGTTGAGAATACAGTCAATAACAAATATTCTATGATAATATATTGTACATTAATACATGAATGTTCTGAAAGAAACCCTAGATTAAAAAAAAAAAAAAAAAAAAGAAAAAAATTCACTATGAGGCACATAAACACTAATTAGTTTTCTCCCACTATTTTGTAGGGTCCAACAACTACTGAATAGTTTTTTGTATTTTTTTTTTTTAAACGGTGTTCACCTAATACAAGACAGTACAGTCACTAAGACAAGTGGTTTTTGGGTGTGGAAGAATTAGAAACATTACTAAGAAGTGAGAACAAAAGAGTAATCTAGAGGACAGTAAATAGCAATTGACATCATATTTAAATTTTTAAAGATTAAAGTTGACTAGAAGGCATGAAGCCAAAAGGTAGTTTCACAAATGAGAGAAGAAACTGTTACATCAATAAGACTAAGTTGTCAGTCTAGTATGCAAGATAGATTCTTGAGAAAAAAAATTGTCATGATAGTGAATCAACCTTTTTAGCAGCTGACATAACAATGGATTTAATAAAGTCTTTCCACTTCATGTCAGCCAAAGAAGGTACAACAAATCACACTCCTGAAGGTTAGCATCAGCCATGATCAATAGAAAGCAGTTTAGTTTTGGAAGTGTTAAAATTAACAAGCCATCCTTTGCTCCAGTTAACAGGCTGAAGGTAGTTTTTGACATCAGCTGTTAATTTAACCTTATTGAGCTGAACCCACTTACTATAGAGACAGGAGCAAATGGTTCTGTTATCAGCATAGATAAGTTGAGAGCTGATGTCATTGGAAGGTCATTAAGGAAATTTAAATACAAAGTAGGGTTAAGGATAGATCCATGGGAGACACCTGCATTAATGCAAAATGATATGGAATAGTGGCCCTTCAGGACAACTTTTATTTCACGATTTGATAAGATTGGATCAGTTCAAAAATTTATCCAGAGACATTGTAACTTTGATTTATGAAGAAAATCCAGTCAAAAACTTCTGAAATGTTCAAAACTACAGCCCAAACTTCCTGTTCTTTTCTAGAGATTGATACACTTTCTGCAATTATTGTCAGTACATCAGCAGTTGACCCGGAGAAACAAAAACTGTATTGCATGTTTGAAAAAAGGCCTCATGATGTGAGATGCTTAACCAATTTAGCATTGATTATGGTCTCTAGTAGTTTCCCCAAAAAGTGTTAATAGACAAATAGTTGGAAGGGTTGGACAATACAGAGTTCTTAAAAACTGAACAACAGTTCACAGGATTACGTAAAATTACCTTGCGGTGGTTCTAACAGTGGCAAAAACTGGAAAAACAATTGTTTTTGCACAAAATCAATTTGAAAACACGATTAAGAGGCATCGCGAGAATGAAAGGGGGAGAACTCATTGAGCTATACTTATAAAACTCAGGTTGTGTGTGTGTTCGTTTATATATGGATCGGATTTCCAACATTTTTCAACAAAACTTCAGTTTTTTTTGGCAGGTAGTGTTTCTTATTGTCTTGTACACTTGTTTCTTTATTTTTACATTCAGAATGCTTTAAAAATTCCATTTACAAGACAATTGTTTATAAGAAAATTCTATTCAATCTGTAGACTTATAACGATTGAAAACAATGTTTTTGTTTGAGTTTGACCAATTCGTAAAAAAAAAAAAAAAAAAAAAAAACTAATTCATTAAGACATGCATGTCCGTCAACCTTAAACAATCTTTGTCAATTTTATTTTTCAGTCTTTATGATGGTCGATACTTGATCTATCTCTTACTGTTACGCCGGGCTCTACTGCTAGTGTCTTTATAAACTGGGAAAAAAGTTTTCAGCCAAATAAGTACACAGAATGCAAAATTATGACAAAGTTTGCAAATCATAGTGGACATGAAAATCCATGCAAATTTTAAGAGGCTGTAACTTCTGAACTACACATCAAATGAAGAACTTTTCAGGTTCTGTTTCTCTAGGGTAAGACGTCTTCATAATCTGATAGTGTGACTACAGGATCTTCCAAATACTGGTCGAGTTGTTATAATAGAATGCACTTAGATTGCACACAGTATCCATATTAAAAAAATGATTTGGCTATTTGGACTTCCTTAGCAAAGGTTATGCTTTCTGGCAGTTAACAGCAAAGTAATAAAGGAAGCTTAATCCTAGGAATTCCAATCTGTGGTAACACTTTCCTCATAAATGTTCCACTTGTGGTAGAGGGTTACAGAGTAAAAAGCACAATGTAAGACGATGCAAAGAGCTAACAGAAGTGGAACAGAAGGAAAAGTCTTTAAAAAGGAATCAAAAACCCAATCCTAAACTGTGAGAAATCTATTCCTGTTAAAACAAATCTGAGAAGAGTGTGTATTGGATGATAGGCAAACCTATTACAATTTTTGTCCTTAACACACAGGTTTATTTTATACATCTGTTTACTTAAGCATAATAGAGAAAAAAGAAACATTCAGAAATATGACTTAGGTTGTGTACCAAAGTTTTTTTTTGTTTTTTATTTACTCTTAAAAGTGTATGCTGAAAAATTTTCATGTACCTAAACTAAATAGCCCATTTGAGGATGCAATAAAGAGAAAGCACTTTTTAGACTGAAGTAGGATACATTATTAATCCATAATGATGTCTGTTAATCTTTCATTAATTACAATTTTAGATAGATTAAGATGTACTTCAGATTCATTTACTTTAAAAGATTAAAATTAAAAATAATCCCACCTTTATTTAGCTCTATCTCCCACTTCTCCATTCAGCTTTAAAAATTAACTCAAGTTTGTAATTGTAAATAACTTAAAAATTAGTAAGACCAGTAAGCATTATAGTAAGGCAAAAAGTGTCACTTACGCTTGTGTTTTTTGCTGTTCATTTGATGGTATAACATTGTGTCGATTATCCAGAAAATGTAGTGGCTTTTCTTTCATTTGTTTTACTTCTGGAGGTGAAGGTTTTCGTCGTTTCTTGTTAGCCAGTTTGAAAGATAATGAAAAAGGCTGCTCAGAATTGGCATTATTATTATTGCTATTATTATCATTATTGCTCCAGGTGTTTTTACTGTCATTTATTAGGAAATCACTGAGGCAAATAATCCTTGTACTTTTTTTAAAACGTCTATTGAGAGCATTTTCATCATTCTTATGCGTTGCTGAAGGATGCAATTTGTTTGAAACCATTCCCTGGGGAGTATTAGTAATTTTTTTTGACAATGGTTCAATTTGCAGTTGTGGAAATTCTTCAGCAAAATTTGTAAAAGGCTTGCTTTGGGGTGTGTCATCTGGAAACAACTGTACTCTTTTACAAGATAGAGTCCGAACTGTAGGGTTGGGGGTGGATATTTGTGGTTTTGCTTTTTGCTTCCACTTCACAGGAGAGGGACTTGCAGATTTTGATTTCTGGAGCAAATGAGAAGTCTGTCCTCGCAAATAGTTTAAGAGAAAAGGTATGAACTCTCTTCTTTCACTTTGAAATGATAGCAGCACTTCAGGAACATCAGTCTGTCATAAAAGAAAATATAATTAGATTTAATAGATATTGTTTTTAACTAATTTTATTGTATGTCTGAGCATTTTAAAGACAAAAAAGTTCATATGAACTTAAAATAATTTCTAGATTATTCTTAAACATTTTAGTGGCTATGTGTACAAGTACTTAGTACTGTCATTTGTTTTTAGACAATTTAAATTTATGTATCAGCCTTCAAGAGTCTCAAGATGTGTCTTCTGTTATGGTTCAAACTTGGATCCCCTTTGTAGGAAAAAACAAACAAAATATATTATTTAATGTGCTAGAAAGGATAAAAAAAAATAAATAAAATAATTAAAATACTTTCCTCAAACATTTTGATGATAAAAACTTTTTTTTTTTTTTTTTTAAGCAAAAAAAAGTGTAGATACCTAATTTTAAATTAAATACAATTCTTAATACATTATGAAGTGGACAAAGCGTGACAATTATTTTTAAAGACATTTTTTATGTTCATTCGTTCTTTTTATAGATACAAATATTTAAGTAAATGCACACTGAGGACGCATATTATCTATGAAAATTTCTCGGATATTCAGGCCGGTAATGGTGTTTAAAATTAAACAGAGCATTTATTTGTTTGTATCTAAAAAGAACGTATAAACATAAAAAAAATGTCTTAAAAAATAATTCTTGATCTATAAAATTTATGGAATTCAATAGGAATACTAAATTCACTTTATCAAAATGAGCAAAATAGCTTAGCAGACCATTACAGTATTACTAACTCTAAAAGAGATGGATTCTCTAAACTTTGTAAATGAGCAGATATTTTGTTTTAGTATTTTTTCTTGTAAACTCCGATTTATCTAACGTAGTAACACGAAATAAACGAAAACTTTAGTGTTACTGTTAAGTAACCAAATTATTCCTTAGTTCTAGCTATACGAAAGAAGGACGTATGTGAAATGGAAAATACTCCACAAGTTTTGATTTAGATGTAAATTTAGGTATCTCCACAAACTCGGTAAAAATCAGTATGTGATGAAAAAATGCTCCCAACTTAATGAAAACGAAGTTTTATCGCCAAAATGTTTGCGTTAAGACTTCAAAAAAAAAAAAAAAAAAAAAAAAAGTATATTTGATTATTTTATTAAATTTTTTAATCCTTTGTAGCACGTTCGAAATTTTGGTTTAAAAAAAAAAAAAAAAAAAAAAAAAAAAAAAATTTTTTTGCGTCAGCGGGTCGGCCGAAAAGATTTTTAGTGGGTAACAGCTCTGTTACCCACTTAATTTTTATGTAACTCAAGAAATTCAACGTAGTAAATTTTATTTTTATTGATTTTAAAAAGTCTTTCAGAAATAAATCATCGATTTTTTGTAAGATCGATTTGGCTAGTTAAAATTGAACCAACCGTGAAATTTTCTTTAATCTTTATGAAGTTGAAAGTACTACCGTTTTTATTTCGGGAAGGAAATAAAAATGCATTTTGATTTTTCACCCCTAACCATTATTTTTTACGGAAGGGCTCCGTTGACATCCGATAGAAGGAGACTAGATAAATCGATGTTTGAATAAGAAAAAAGAAAAAAGTCTAAACCCCAGTTTGTTCTTATCAAGTTAAAGAACGAAACTGAAGTGGACAAGTTTAGTGTCCGAAATGTTTTTAATTTGCCATACCAAATATCACTTAAGCCAACTCGATTGCTTTAACTAGCCTCATACTCTGAACACGTTTTCCATAAATATCCAATTCATTACAATACATTATTTACACTATTCGGACTATTGTCCTCTTCTTTATCGCCATATTTATTACAACGTTTCGGCCGTTGTACGCTCTGGCCTTCTTCAGGTGGTTGGAATATCGAACTGAACCCTTTATTTCGCTCACTGGGATAGACTGCTCTAGTTCCACGTGCCATGAGGACAACAATCCGAACAGTGTAAATAATGTACATAATCTCAAATATAGATAGTTATGCAATTCATTATCAAAGAATTGTTCGAGGCTAACAAAAAAAAAAAAAAAAAAAAAAAAACAGCGTTTACTTTAGATTAGAACAAAAACGAAAAAAGAGAGAAATATCGGTTTGTTCTTTTTAGAACATACCAACTTGATAAATAATGGTTTTTATATAGATTTTTATTTTATTGACAAGTAGGAGCGAGGCAATACGGAGTGAACAAAGTGTACTAACTAAATTAAAAATATTTTTTAAAAAAGTAACAGGTTTCAAAGTTGCATTTTTAGTTATGGGTTCCGTTCGAATCTTACTGCTTTGCATTTTGTTTTGTAACTTTTGTTCATGCCTAAATTATCATCAATGACTTCAGAAGAGCGGTTTTGAGATCACGTAGTTTTATTTTGCTTAAGAAAAACTTTGTTTTTACGAACAAAGACAAAAACTAAGTTTTTACTTTTTGATTCTAAACTATTTTTATAAAAAAACTTTTCCGGAAAGTAAAGTTTTTTTCCGTTATCCAAATTCTTTGGGAGATGAACAGTTGTTTTGTTAGTAATAACGGAGAAGTAGAATTTTTTTTTATATTTTGAGTGTGTGTAATTCATTCATTACATTAACTTAAATGTTAATGTACGTACTTTTTATTTTTTACTGTGTATAAATTATCCAAACCAAATGGTTGTTAATTCCAAACGCCTTTTCGACTAATAATTAGCCATTTTCAAACACAAGATAAAAATTAACTGAGAGTGCCTGGAATTAACTATAATTTGGAAAATTGCTACGAAAACTAAGTCTCCCACAAAAAAAAAAAAAAAAAAAAAAAAAAGTAGAGCATGTATGGTTGCTGCCGAAAAAGACAACTTGGAATAGCTATAATTTAAAAATTAGCACAAGTGGTGATGTGGGGGGGGGGTACAAAAATGTAAAGTTGACAACACTAAAAATTAATGTAGAAAATAGTTACACTATTGAATAATACTGTGTAACAGGGAATTTGGAGTTAATTTTCTTTATTATTTAAAGTTCTACATGGTACCAAACTATTAACCGGCAACTTGTTTTGAAAGAAATAAAAACTTCATTGATTTTTAAAGTGATATTAAAAATTATATTAAATGACATTAAATAGGAAAATCGCAAGAATGATTAGATTAATGTTAGCATTTTGGAAACTTGGTTAACTAAAAAAAAAAAAAAAAAAAAAAGGGGTAGCATATATTTGTAAAAATATTGTTTACATTTTTTTACGATATAAGTTTAAAACTGGCAGACAGTCCGTTACATTATTTACACATGATTTCAAAGGACTGAAAGAATTACGTTTATAAGTTCACGAAGTTTATGCCGACAGATTATCATTAAATGAAATAAATTACAATCACTGAAGAGAAAAAGAAAAAAAATTACATTCAATTACCTGTTGTGTTTCCATTTGTATCCATGAGACAACGTGGTCTGGCTTACACCGGCCTTTAAAGAGAAACTCCAATACATTTGCCATTTCTCTTGTTAAAATTGATTAATGCTTACCTCCTCCCCTTCTTTTTCCTTCAAAAGTAAAAATATGGTGCATATATGCCTTCAGTGTAAAAAAAACCCCCACTATTCTAAAGTTTGTTGAGGTATGTCTTTTAATTAGTGCGAAAGAAAAATTATTGAATAAATCCGCTTCAAACAGCCTCGTTTTGAGATTTGTATAAAACTAATTTGCATAAAAGGATTTTTGTGTTTATTATTTGTACTAGTTTTTATTCCTCTTACCCTAAAAAAAAAAAACAAAAAAAAAACTCTCCTTTAAAAATAGAATTTTCATTCACCTTCCCACTTTTATTAAAATTATTTTCCAGACAAATTTGAGATCCATCTCTAATTCTTACTTTTCAGTGCACGGTTAGCTTTTAGGCGCGGATTTTCGTTTCCTCAAATTTATATATTTTTGTTTTTGTCCTCTCGAAAAAGCGACCCTGATTTTACCGCCAAAATTTTGATATTTAAAAATTGTGTCACGTATACTAAATCACCAACAGCGGTTGCAAAGAGAGAGAAAAAAATAACGAAACTAAAAACTTTGTTAAGAAGAATGAGTAGAAACATAACTATCCAATAAAAATTGTCTGCCTGTAAATTTTTAATTATTGTCGGCATCAGCTGTTATTATTTCAACTCTTTCTTTCCTCTTTTTGTTGTTTTTTTTTTTTATTTGAATGCGAGTGCCCTTCGCTTGTTTGTAGCTCTTCATCATCCCCCGTAATAATCAAAAAAGTACTTTTCTAAATGTGCTATCCCAAGAAAAATGTGTAGGGACATATACTGACGCTAATTTGTGCTATTTTGACACTAACTTGATTTTTTTTTTTTAAGAAATTGTTTTAAGTTGAAAAATTAACTTTTTTATTTTATTTTATGACCTGCGATACAGTGATATTGATATTTCACGCGTAATATAATGTTTTTATAAATATAAATCTTATATTTTATTCTATTTTTAATATTTATTTATTTTTTCAACCTCTTTATTTCATCAAGTATGATAATATTACTTTTATTTTTTTTTTATTAATATAATTTTATTTTTAATTGTAAACTTCATGTTGAATCTGAATCTGTGGTGAGCCCAGATAAAAAAAAATAAATTATACAAAAAAAAAGAAATCAAATTAAAATAAGACATTTGCTTTCCTTTAAACTCTCTCTCTCTCTCTCTCTCTCTCTCTCTCTCTCTCTCTCTCTCTCTCTCTCAACTAATGAGAAAGAAAATCCTCAAATAAAAAGATGAAGAAGAAGAGGTTGGACATGGTTACGAAATGACAGAAGTTTGCTGGACAAGGATGTAGCCATTGTGACTGGAAATCTACCAAGTAAGAGAGGCCCATGCATAACTTGTCCTATAAAAAAAAAAAATTGAAAAGAAAGGAACACTGAAAAATAAAAATAAAAATTGACCCAACAAAATTAAAGACACAAAAAGACTTTTGATGTTAAGTGAAACCAATCTTCACAACAGTAGTCTGGAGCAGTGTTTTTAGGGATAAACAGACAGCCAAGAGATAGATAGAGGGAAATGACCTCCAGAGAAACCAGCCAAGTGTGTCACATGAAGAATTTAAGTGGTCATTGGCTTAAGACATTTTTCTGCCCTTTTGAAGGCTGAGAAAACACAGTACATTGACATCTGCAACATGTATCCAAAGTAAACACACACGTGACTGCTACCAAGGTCTGACTTGTAAACTAAGCTGAACGGACTTTCACCAACCTGAATTACAAAGGACTCACTCCAATTAAAATCAAATAAATAAACATATATTATTATTTATATCTTTGATTTTGTTTGTTTATTTTCAAAGTTTCTGATAAGTATTGCTAAGAACATCTGACATTTCTCCACAAATCCACCTCAATTAAGACATAATTGAACTTGAACCAGCTACAAAAAAAGTCATTCTTTCTTTGGTATTAGTAATAAAAATTAGTCGTGAAGATGAGTGTTGGGGAAAGATTCCATGAGCCATTGTTTGTTGAATAAAAAATGAGAGAAAAATTTGTTTTTTCCCTGTGAAATTTAAATTTGAACAAGGGCATGACTCCTGGGGTACTAGCCAAATTACCATATTTCATTTTGATCAAAGGGGGTCCCTAGGGGGCACAAACCCAGCACTGATGATTTTTTTCCCTTTGATTTAAATTAAATTTAAATTTGAACAAAGGAATGACTCCTATGCAAAACATAGAAGAAATCCAGAAGATGGAGGTCACATCGGCAAGATCATTGAGCAATATTGAAATGCATCATTTTTCTCCACAAATTATAACAATAATTTAAAATCAATCATCATTTTCTTACAAAAAATGTGTGACATGCAGCAAGGTATGCGTAATTTGGCTAGTAATATATAAATTTATTAAAAGATGTTGTATATACACAAATAAACTTTGTTATCAGGCATCAATCACTTCCTTCTTTTACTGCTAGTAGAGACAAAACCACTCACCTTGTATGTCAGATAGCAGCAACAGTTTAACCATTGATAGATATTCTTTCTTTTTATTCCACTATCCTTCTTATAGATGGTTGGTTCAGAGTATAACTAAACCTGCAAGTAATATTTTGTTATGATATTTAACCTCTAACTACATACAGGCCACTTCTGAAAGCCCAACTAACCAACCATAGAAATCAAATGTAATATGGTTAGGCTTGTGCAAGGGTGTTAGTGAGTGTTCCACTAGAAGTCAGCAATTTGTGAATATCCTGAAGAAAGGAATGGTAGTAGATGACATCTAGCATACATTGTTTGTGCCCAATAAGAAGAGGTCTGTTGCAGTTGGTTATTTATACTGGCACTTTTTAAGAGCAAAGTGGATCACAGAAAAGGGGGGATGAAGCAAAAATGATATGACAATATTTGTACTCAGACCTGTTATGATCCAAAATGATTATATTTCATCATTCTAAAAATAACCTTGCCATCAGTGATGATAGAAAAATAAGGATATTTCATCATTCTAAAAATGTATTTGTTATCAGTGATGATAAAAAAGAAGGATATTTCATCATCCTAACCCTCATCATTATAAAAATGGGCCTTCAGAAGGTCAGTAGAGTAGAGAACAGTAGAGTAGACTACAGTACCAGTAGCAGTAGTCAGTAGATGAGTAGACAAGTAGCAATAGTAGTACAGAACATACCTCTAGCTGTAAAAATCAAAAACAGACAATTTCAAATGTCATCATCATAAACGAAATACTCAGAACCAAACCAAGTAAGCACTGACTTTTAAACAAAAGAGACACTGAGAAGATTTTTTCACACACCATATGAATATTGTAATTTATATCACAAAAGAAAATACAAACTGTTGTTATTTATGTCAATACGTATCTCAAGTTTTTATTTTTGTTATCATTGTACATTTTATGTATTTTGATTTCTGTGATTTAATATCAACCTCATTACAGTCAACAAATAATAAAAATAGGGAAAATAATACATCAACACCAACTTACCATACCCCATTACAGATGTTTGCTTACAGTAATAGAACAGTAAGAACTTAAAATAATAAAACTACTTTGAGTGTGACTTCCTCTGAAACTTATAACATAAAAATTTCCATGACAAGATAATGTTAATTTGGATTTATGACCCAAACTAACATTATCTTTATATATATACTAGCAGTAGAGCCCGGCGTTGCCCGGGGATGTAACAGTAAGAGATAGATCAAGTATCGACCATCATAAAGACTGAAAAATAAAATTGACAAAGATTATTGTTTAAGGTTGACGGACACCCATGTTTTAATTATTATTTTTTTTATTCTATGGATTGGTCAAACCCAAACTGGAACAAAAACATTGTTTTTCAATCGTTATGAGTCTACCGATTGAATAGAATTTTATTATAAACAATTGTCTTGTAAATGGAATTTTTAAAGCATTCTGAATGTAAAAATAAAGAAAAAAAGTGTGCAAGACAATAAGAAACACTACCTGCCAAAAAAAAGTGAAGTTTTGTTGAAATCGGTTGAAAAATGTAAGAAATCCAATCCCATATATAAACGAACACAGACACACACACACATACAAACAACCTGTGTTTTATAATAAGTATAACTCGATATGAGTTGTCCCCCTTTCATTCTCGCGACTGCAATGCCTCTTAATCGTGTTTTCAAATTGATTTCGTGCAAAAACAATTGTATTTTTCCAATTTCTGGCACTGTCAGAACCACCGCAAAGTAATTTTACGTAGTCCTGTGAAGTTTTGTTGAAATCGGTTGAAAAATGTAGGAAATCCGATCCAATATATAAACGAACAGACACACACACACACACAACCTGGATTTTATAATAAGTATGATATATATGTGTGTGTGTGTGTGCATGTGTGTGTGTGTTTAGAACTTCATCAGACTAAATTTGTTGGTGCAACTACACATGCACATGAACAAGGGATGCTAGGAATTTTTTTTTATATATCTTTAAATCTAGCCGATTTCCCTTAGATTCTTTTTCTTTTTTGTGTCTAGTTGCCTACCATAATGAGACTGACCACAATTTTGACATAAAGAATGGTCTCTGGTCAAAGGAGAAAACAATTCACTCCAATGAAAATGTTTAGAGAGTCTTGACCGTAAAGTCATCCACAGTAATTTTGCACCATGGCTCTTACATTTCACTATTCTTGGCAGAATTTCTATTACCAAATAGTTAGATATCTACTAACAAAAGTGATGGAAAGAAAAAGAAAAAAAATCTAAATGAAATTGGCTAAATTTTAAAAAAAAATGTTAAGTTCCCAGCATCCCTTGTTCATGCAGATGTGTAGTCACACCAACATAACAAATTTAGTCCAGTGAAGGCCTAAAGGATGATACACACCACACAAAAACTTAATTTTTTTTAATTAAATAATTTTTCTTAATCATATTTCTATTAAATATATATTTTCAATAAGATAAGAAAGGTAATTAGCAAATGAGGTTCTAGATATGTTTT